AACAAGGATAGCTGGGAAGTATAAGCACTTACTGGGTAGTGATTGGATACAGGGCAAGGAAACAAGGATAACTGGGAAGTATAAGCACTTACTGGGTAGTGATTGGACACAGGGCGAGGAAACAAGGATAACTGGGAAGTATAAGCACTTACTGGGTAATGATTGGACACAGGGCGAGGAAACAAGGATAGCTGGGAAGTATAAGCACTTACTGGGTAATGATTGGACACAGGGCAAGGAAACAAGGATAGCTGGGAAGTATAAGCACTTACTGGGTAGTGATTGGTCACAGGGCAAGGAAACAAGGATAGCTTGGAAGTATAAGCACTTACTGGGTAGTGATTGGATACAGGGCAAGGAAACAAGGATAGCTGGGAAGTATAAGCACTTACTGGGTAGTGATTGGATACAGGGCAAGGAAACAAGGATAACTGGGAAGTATAAGCACTTACTGGGTAATGATTGGATACAGGGCAAGGAAACAAGGATAACTGGGAAGTATAAGCACTTACTGGGTAGTGATTGGATACAGGGCAAGGAAACAAGGATAGCTGGGAAGTATAAGCACTTACTGGGTAGTGATTGGTCACAGGGCAAGGAAACAAGGATAGCTTGGAAGTATAAGCACTTACTGGGTAGTGATTGGATACAGGGCAAGGAAACAAGGATAGCTGGGAAGTATAAGCACTTACTGGGTAGTGATTGGATACAGGGCGAGGAAACAAGGATAGCTGGGAAGTATAAGCACTTACTGGGTAGTGATTGGTCACAGGGCGAGGAAACAAGGATAGCTTGGAAGTATAAGCACTTACTGGGTAGTGATTGGATACAGGGCGAGGAAACAAGGATAGCTGGGAAGTATAAGCACTTACTGGGTAGTGATTGGACACAGGGCGAGGAAACAAGGATAGCTGGGAAGTATAAGCACTTACTGGGTAGTGATTGGACACAGGGCGAGGAAAAAAGGATAGCTGGGAAGTATAAGCACTTACTGGGTAGTGATTGGATACAGGGCAAAGAAACAAGGATAACTGGGAAGTATAAGCACTTACTGGGTAGTGATTGGATACAGGGCAAAGAAACAAGGATAACTGGGAAGTATAAGCACTTACTGGGTAGTGATTGGTCACAGGGCGAGGAAACAAGGATAGCTGGGAAGTAGAAGCACTTACTGGGTAGTGATTGGATACAGGGCAAGGAAACAAGGATAACTGGGAAGTATAAGCACTTACTGGGTAGTGATTGGTCACAGGGCAAGGAAACAAGGATAGCTGGGAAGTATAAGCACTTACTGGGTAGTGATTGGACACAGGGCGAGGAAAAAAGGTTAGCTGGGAAGTAGAAGCACTTACTGGGTAGTGATTGGACACAGGGCGAGGAAACAAGGATAGCTGGGAAGTATAAGCACTTACTGGGTAGTGATTGGACACAGGGCAAGGAAACAAGGATAACTGGGAAGTATAAGCACTTACTGGGTAGTGATTGGACACAGGGCGAGGAAACAAGGATAACTGGGAAGTATAAGCACTTACTGGGTAGTGATTGGTCACAGGGCGAGGAAACAAGGATAGCTGGGAAGTAGAAGCACTTACTGGGTAGTGATTGGACACAGGGCGAGGAAACAAGGATAGCTGGGAAGTATAAGCACTTACTGGGTAGTGATTGGATACAGGGCGAGGAAACAAGGATAGCTGGGAAGTATAAGCACTTACTGGGTAGTGATTGGATACAGGGCGAGGAAACAAGGATAACTGGGAAGTATAAGCACTTACTGGGTAGTGATTGGATACAGGGCAGGAAACAAGGATAGCTGGGAAGTATAAGCACTTACTGGGTAGTGATTGGACACAGGGCGAGGAAAAAAGGATAGCTGGGAAGTATAAGCACTTACTGGGTAGTGATTGGATACAGGGCAAAGAAACAAGGATAACTGGGAAGTATAAGCACTTACTGGGTAGTGATTGGTCACAGGGCGAGGAAACAAGGATAGCTGGGAAGTAGAAGCACTTACTCAGTAGTGATTGGTCACAGGGCGAGGAAACAAGGATAGCTGGGAAGTAGAAGCACTTACTGGGTAGTGATTGGATACAGGGCAAGGAAACAAGGATAGCTGGGAAGTATAAGCACTTACTGGGTAGTGATTGGACACAGGGCAAGGAAACAAGGATAGCTGGGAAGTATAAGCATTTACTGGGTAGTGATTGGACACAGGGCAAGGAAACAAGGATAACTGGGAAGTATAAGCACTTACTGGGTAGTGATTGGTCACAGGGCGAGGAAACAAGGATAGCTGGGAAGTAGAAGCACTTACTGGGTAGTGATTGGACACAGGGCGAGGAAACAAGGATAGCTGGGAAGTATAAGCACTTACTGGGTAGTGATTGGATACAGGGCAAGGAAACAAGGATAACTGGGAAGAATAAGCACTTACTGGGTAGTGATTGGATACAGGGCAAGGAAACAAGGATAGCTGGGAAGTAGAAGCACTTACTGGTTAGTGATTGGACACAGGGCGAGGAAACAAGGATAGCTGGGAAGTATAAGCACTTACTGGGTAGTGATTGGACACAGGGCAAGGAAACAAGGATAACTGGGAAGTATAAGCACTTACTGGGTAGTGATTGGACACAGGGCGAGGAAACAAGGATAACTGGGAAGTATAAGCACTTACTGGGTAGTGATTGGAGACAGGGCAAGGAAACAAGGATAGCTGGGAAGTATAAGCACTTACTGCGTAGTGATTGGAGACAGGGCAAGGAAACAAGGATAGCTGGGAAGTATAAGCACTTACTGGGTAGTGATTGGAGACAGGGCAAGGAAACAAGGATAGCTGGGAAGTATAAGCACTTACTGGGTAGTAATTGGACACAGGGCAAGGAAACAAGGATAGCTGGGAAGTATAAGCACTTACTGGGTAGTGATTGGAGACAGGGCAAGGAAACAAGGATAGCTGGGAAGTATAAGCACTTACTGGGTAGTGATTGGATACAGGGCAAGGAAACAAGGATAGCTGGGAAGTATAAGCACTTACTGGGTAGTGATTGGATACAGGGCAAGGAAACAAGGATAGCTGGGAAGTATAAGCACTTACTGGGTAGTGATTGGACACAGGGCAAAACAAGGATAGCTGGGAAGTATAAGCACTTACTGGGTAGTGATTGGATACAGGGCAAGGAAACAAGGATAACTGGGAAGTATAAGCACTTACTGGGTAGTGATTGGACACAGGGCAAGGAAACAAGGATAACTGGGAAGTATAAGCACTTACTGGGTAGTGATTGGATACAGGGCGAGGAAACAAGGATAGCTGGGAAGTATAAGCACTTACTGGGTAGTGATTGGACACAGGGCAAGGAAACAAGGATAGCTGGGAAGTATAAGCACTTACTGGGTAGTGATTGGACACAGGGCGAGGAAACAAGGATAGCTGGGAAGTATAAGCACTTACTGGGTAGTGATTGGACACAGGGCAAGGAAACAAGGATAGCTGGGAAGTATAAGCACTTACTGGGTAGTGATTGGACACAGGGCAAGGAAACAAGGATAGCTGGGAAGTATAAGCACTTACTGGGTAGTGATTGGAGACAGGGCAAGGAAACAAGGATAGCTGGGAAGTATAAGCACTTACTGGGTAGTGATTGGATACAGGGCAAGGAAACAAGGATAGCTGGGAAGTATAAGCACTTACTGGGTAGTGATTGGATACAGGGCAAGGAAACAAGGATAGCTGGGAAGTATAAGCACTTACTGGGTAATGATTGGACACAGGGCGAGGAAACAAGGATAGCTGGGAAGTATAAGCACTTACTGGGTAGTGATTGGATACAGGGCAAGGAAACAAGGATAACTGGGAAGTATAAGCACTTACTGGGTAGTGATTGGACACAGGGCAAGGAAACAAGGATAGCTGGGAAGTATAAGCACTTACTGGGTAGTGATTGGATACAGGCGAGGAAACAAGGATAACTGGGAAGTATAAGCACTTACTGGGTAGTGATTGGATACAGGGCAAGGAAACAAGGATAACTGGGAAGTATAAGCACTTACTGGGTAGTGATTGGACACAGGGCAAGGAAACAAGGATAGCTGGGAAGTATAAGCACTTACTGGGTAGTGATTGGATACAGGCGAGGAAACAAGGATAACTGGGAAGTATAAGCACTTACTGGGTAGTGATTGGATACAGGGAAAGGAAACAAGGATAGCTGGGAAGTATAAGCACTTACTGGGTAGTGATTGGACACAGGGCGAGGAAACAAGGATAGCTGGGAAGTATAAGCACTTACTGGGTAGTGATTGGACACAGGGCGAGGAAACAAGGATAGCTGGGAAGTATAAGCACTTACTGGGTAGTGATTGGACACAGGGCGAGGAAACAAGGATAGCTGGGAAGTATAAGCACTTACTGGGTAGTGATTGGATACAGGGCAAGGAAACAAGGATAGCTGGGGAGTATAAGCACTTACTGGGTAGTGATTGGTCACAGGGCAAGGAAACAAGGATAGCTGGGAAGTATAAGCACTTACTTTTATTGCTGTGATAGCACTTTAAGGAGTTTCCTAGTGATACACTGGTTTTTGGTTTATTTTATCAGGACATATTCTGTATATACCCTATACTGGTTTGTGATTGGATACAGGGCAGTGTGATGTCATACATTTGTGCAGACATAATGAAAAATTAGCAAGTAGCTTTATAATATAAATGAAAAAAATGACACGCATTCCGCGTCACGAATGAGGTGAGAACGACACACAGTAATGTCAAGACGTGACGTGTAAAACGTTACACTATGCCCCGATGAAAAACTAGCCAAAGTTTTAATGTAAATTTTTAATACATTGTGATGGGTTTTATTTATTGCAGGAATAATCTCACAATAAGCTCTCACTACAGCCAGTGTAGAATAAACCACCTCCCTAATTACCACATTCTGAACAATACTATAATTAACACGGTGACATCTGGCTATATAATTGTGATACTGAGAATATAATCATACAGAACGCTGGCTGGAGATACACTGTATGTTCTATCAGACTCCAGTGGAACGGATTGATTTAGACAATCTCACTCCCACATTACCATGAAGCCGTTTGTAATATTAATGGTGGCTATCAGCGCAATCATGGCATTTATAGCGGATGCAGAAGAAAACAAAGTCTGCGAATGTCACTGTAAATGCGACTGCTGCAAATGTTGCAGTGATGTACAGAAGGTAAGTGATGTCACTGGAATTAATGTATCTCCTGCCTTCTTCACCCATTAGAAAAGGTTTTTATAAAATGACTTTACAGCAGGTTTATCACCATTTTAATTTATAATCAAACCATGTTTAATATAAAATAATATCATATAAGTAATATATCATTCCGATATAGCGTCCTGCCACCCCCAGTACTAATGTAAATATTAGAAGTATATGAGTTAAACCCCCCCATTTGAAGTAACTGGAATAGGTTTATATTGACAGTTTATAGATTATTGGAGGAACTTGGGATATTTCTCTCATCATTGAAAACCCTCTAAATCAGTCAATACATTTTTATTTTGGCTTAATCTGCCGTTACAACTTATTGTATTATTGCAGGTTGTTGTATTAGTGAGGTTTATTGTATTATTACAGCTTATTGTATTATTAGAGCTTATTGTATTTTTACAGCTTATTGTATTACTACAGCTTATTGTATTATTAGAGCTCACTGTATTATTACAACGTATTGTATTATTATTATTGCGGGTTATCGTAATATTACAGCTCAGTGTATTAATACCACTTATTATATTATAGCAGCTCATTGCATTATTACAGCCAAGGCCAGCCTTAGAGGTGTGTGAGCAATGTGGTGGCCCTGGCCGGTGGGCACAGTGTCCAAAGATACTGCCACCCCCTATGAAAAGTGCAATTAATTTGTACTTAAGCTATTGCTAGATAAGCAATATATTCAATAAAAATGATTCCCTGGTGGTCCAGTGGTACTCTCAGCACCCCCTGCTCCTATAGACATAGTACGTTCCCCCTCGAGATTCCAGAGCTGACTTTGTGAGTCAAAGTGCAGTTGAGGGGATTCCCAGCCTGCACTCTGACTCAACTTTGAATGAGAGTTTATTATGGAGTGTAGCAGCAAGGCATACAGAGGATGCGAGGATTCATTGGATGCAGTCCGTACAATATTTGTCAAACCACATTCAAACTAAACTAACAGCTTGCTAAGAATGTTCTGAGCTTTGGGCCCCATGAGAGTGACAGTATTCATCTAATAACTTATTGTAGATGCCAAGGGTTTTGGGTGCCGTCCATCCAGTTTTTGTCAAACTGCTTCCAGATAGTTTTATAAAGACCAGGTATCTCCTGCTACCAATAGCAGGCCCCTGTGCAGTTTCCAAGATAATACAGATCAGCTACTGTATAACAGATTAGCTATGAACACACAGAAATTAAATACAGTGGTCAGCCCCCCAATCCCAGCTTCATAAAGTCAGGGAAGGCATGGTAGATCACTGCATTAACATCTCCAAGCAAAGATTGCAGAGAGGTCGCCTAAACTGTGCTCGGGAGGAGGGGGTAACCCTCAATATAATTTAGTAACAAAAAGGTGGATCTATGTAATAAGACCAGAGTAACACACCCCCAGAGTCAGTACTAGATCCCCCTAGCTCCTATGTGAAGCATATACTACCAGTACACAAAGTGTGTTTCTCAGATTAGCTATGAACTCTGGGACTGGCTTAATGGAAAGGACTGCATCCAAAGACAACTTGCGCCAAAACCAGTGACCTGCTGTGATTATGGTTTGTACAGAATCCTTTTAATTGTAGATTGTACTTTGTGTTCTTCCACTCTAGGTATATAATGATGCTGGGTTAGGAACTTCACATCAGTCAATTGAAACTCCTCAGAATCAAAAAATAACAGGAACTCAGGATGGCACGTACGTGGAGAATCAAAAAATAACAGGAACTCAGGATGGCACGTACGTGGAGAATCAAAAAATAACAGGAACTCAGGATGGCACGTACGTGGAGAATCAAAAAATAACAGGAACTCAGGATGTCACGACTGTGCAGAATAAAATAATAACTGAAACCTCTCCTGTCACTGAAGTGGACATTGACGTAGAAATTGGAGAATAACTGGAGAACCTGTTAACATTCTACGATTCCCAATACTTGATTGCTTGCTTTATAAACCATGAGCATGTTAATAGTTCAATGGAACTCTCCAAATCAAATAAAAAAATCAGTCAGCTCTTTCGTCAACCTTACAGCCAATCATTAATTTACCATTTAAAATACAATACTGTGTGAAGGTAATATGTATGCTTAACGTATTAGAATATAATATTCATTATATGTCCTTAAAATAAACATGGAACATTTCCATCTAATGGCCTTCCATCCACTAGACATTCTCAAAGGACCATTCAACACCCATAAAGCATTTCTACAGTGCTCCATGTGTGAGGTTTTATGAAAAAAATTAAGTTAAAAAAAAATCTGTTATATATGGTCGATTCCCTACCCTTTACCAACTAAACCAGGCTTCCCCAAACTCCGGCCCCCCTAGATGTTGCTGAACTACAACTCCCATGATTCTATGAATGAAATAGATGGACTGAGAATCATGGGAGTTGCAGTTCAGCGACATCTGGAGGGCCGGAGTTTGGGGAAGCCTGAACTAAACAATCAAACAAACAAATTGCCGCAGCTACAATCTCATGGGATATCTTTCCCAGTTATTAGATGCATATCACGTGGATAAAATGTAACGTGCACATCCCTGGTGCTGGACTTCGTACGACTCGAGTAGAAAAACGTATCCCCAAATGATCCCTAATGTCTGCACACATTCCACTGCGCACACCCATCTTCTTAGAATACGTACATTTATTTGCAAAAAAAAAAGGAAAAAATATAAAACATGGAAATACAAGCAAAAAATTGCGTAGAACAGTCCTCATATGCGCCAGTCCAATATCATATAGTATGTAAAGGTTGATAACATGCTCTGTGATCCCAGCCTGTCATAATATGAGGTAAATCCCAGTGGGAAAAAATATGTCAAAAGTATATCAGAAGCTAAGAGAAAATAAAAATGTGCTGTCTATTTCAAGGGTGTCCAAAAAGGCAGCCAATTGGTGCCGAAATGTTGGGGGCTAGTCTTCTGTCTTATCGGGCTTGTGGAAATTAGGTAATTACCTTGTATTATTCTATTTGTTTTATGTATTTAAGCATTGCTTGTCTGAATAAAGGATTTATGTATTTAAATGTGGTTGTTATAGTGTGCATTCTCTATCACTGTATACCCCTAATTCACTGACTATCCCTTCTACCCTTCCTCACAGAAAATGTGATGGCTTGGACAACTCTTGTTCTATCTACATTTCCAAAATGATTTAGTATTCTCAACACCCAGACAATATTGGCTATTTCTGGCTATTTTCTTCATCCATTCACCTTCTCACTTTCTTTCCCATCTTACTTTTTTATTTCCTTGATTTATTTCCAAATTTTTACCAGAAAACCAAACTTTTATTTATGCATCCTAAAATCTGTCTTCCATTTTTCCAGCTCCTATCCATTGAGGGGTCCATCCCCAGCTGTCACTATTAATCTAACCAGTTTTATTGTGGGGTGTGATTATTAACTCGATCATTAATAGAGTCAAATTTTTATACAGAGTTCCACGGAGAATAAATGATAAATAGGATAGCAAAAAAACTAAGTGCAAGAGAACTGAAAACAGCTCGAGTAACCTGCCCTTCAGGGACAATAAATAGAATGTGTTCATTAATTCTGTCAATAACCATGGAACCAATTTAAATACAATTACTTGTCACAAAGTAACACAACCTTCAAAAATCAGACACACCCAAAGCAGGTTGGAAAGTCTGGAATTGGATGTAATTGTGAAATGATTGAGCAATGTGTACAAACAGAAATTAATGCGACGAAACCCAGGAAGCAGAATTACTTTATAAAGAAGTTACCAGCAGTCAGGGTTGCCATCAGACATTTTCAGGCCCCTTACACATCTCAAGGCCTGAGCCACCAGGGCTCGCCCCCCGAGTCCACCCTGAGTCCTCCCACGAGGATAAGTAAAGTGGATGCAGTGTTTGTGTTTGCATAGTGGATGCAGTGTCTGTGTGTAGTGGATGCATTGTGTGTGGTGAATGCAGTGTGTGTGTGTGTGTGTAATGGATGCAGTGTGTATAGTGGATGCAATATGTGTGTAGTGGATGCAGCGTGTTTGTGTTTGTTTAATGGATGCAATGTGTTTGTGTGTAATGGATGCATTGTGTGTAGTGATTCCAGTGTGTGTGTAATGGATGCAGTGTGAATAGTGGATGCAATGTGTGTGTGTATAGTTGATGCGGGATGTGTAGTGATTGCAGTGTGTGTAGTGGATGCATTGTGTGTAGTGAATGCAGTGTGTGTGTGTGTAATGGATGCAGTGTTAATAGTGGATGCAATGTGTGTGTAATGAATGCAGTGTGTTTGTGTGTAGTTGATGCATTGTGAGTAGTGATGTCGCGAACATAAAATTTTCGGTTCGCGAATCGCGAACGCGAACTTCCGCAAATGTTCGCGAACCCGGCGAACCCGATTAGACTTCAATAGGCAGGTGAATTTTAAAACCCACAGGGAATCTTTCTGGCCACAATAGAGGTTGAAGGGGGGGGGAGGAGACCTACTCTCCTCCCCCCCCCGGCCCCCACCCCTGGGCGGCGGGTGGGGGCCATAAAGATAATGAGGGGGGGACCTACTGTCCTCCCCCTCTCCGGCCCCCACCCCTGGGTGGCGGGTGGGGGCCATAAAGATAATGAGGGGGGGACCTACAGTCCTCCCCCTCTCCGGCCCCCACCCCTGTGCGGCGGGTGGGGGCCCTAAAAATAACAATAAGAGGGGGACCTACTGTCCCCCCCGGTCCCCACCCCTGAGCGGTTGGTGGGGGCCCTAATAACAATAAGGAGGGGACCTATTGTCCCCTCCGGCCCCCACCCCTGAGCGGTGGGTGAGGGCCCTAAAATTAACAATAAGGGGGGACTCTCAGGTTGGACTTCGGAGTTCGGCAATTTAATGACATGTTTTGAAAGGCCGCAGGGAAGCCAATCAACAAGCGTTTGACTCGTGTGCCCTTAGAAGCCATCACAGCCATGCCAACTAATGACATGGCTGTGATTGGCCAGTGCAGCAAGTGACCCAGCCTCTATAGAAGCTGGTCACTTAGTATTAGTAAATTATGCCCCTACTCGCTATACCGCAGGCAGGTGGGGGTCCTAAATAACAATAAGGGGGGACCTATTGTCCTCCCCCCAGTCCCCTACCCTGAGCGGTGGGTGGGAGCAATAAATAAAAATTGGGGGGGACCTAATGTCCTTCCCCCCTGACCCCCACCCCTGCGTGGCAAGTGGGGGCCCTAAATAACAATAAAGGGGGTGGGGGCCATAAATAAAAAATGGGGGGGGACCTAATGTCCTCCCCCGGCCTCCACCCCTGTGCAGTGGGTGGGGGCCATAAATAAAAAATGGAGGGGGACCTAATGTCCTCCCCCGGCCCCCACCCCTGAGCGGTGGGTGAGGGCCATAAATAAGGTGGGGACCTAAAGTCAAATAGAAGCATCAAATAGTGCACTTACAGCGCAGTTCTAAACATTCTAATTGTTTTGCTGCTAAACTGGTAAATAGTACATTTTGAGCGTGCTCTTCATATCTGAGAGTCAAATAGAAGCGTCAAATAGTGCGCTTACAGCGCAGTTGTAAACATTCTAATTATTTTGCTGCTAAACTGCTAAATAGTACATTAGTGGGATGCACTTCATATCTGAGAGTCAAATAGAAGCGTCTAATAGTGTGCTTACAGCGCAGTTGGAAACATTCTAATTGTTTTGCTGCTAATCTTCCGCCACCGAGGATTGCAGGGCATTTCTATTTGCCTCCTGTTGCCTCCTCCTCTACCACCACCTCAGCGTAACACCTTCACCACCAACTTCAGCACAGCCAGGGGGAAACGAAAGCAGGCTGTTTTAAAACTCATATGTTTGGGGGGAAAACCCCACACCGCGCAGGAGCTGTGGACGGGCATGGAACAACAGACCGATGAGTGGTTGTTGCCACTGAGCCTCAAGCCCGGCCTGGTGGTGTGCAATAATGGTCGAAATCTCGTAGCAGCTCTCGGCCTAGTTGGTTTGGCGCACATCCGTTGCCTGGTGCATGTTCTGAATTTAGTGGTGCAGAAATTCCTGAAAAACTACTCAGATATATCAGAGATGCTGCGGGCTGTCTGTGCGCGCTTTCAGCGTTCTCACCCTGCTGCTGCTCGCCTGTCTGTGCTGCAGCGTAACTTCAGCCTTCCCACTCACCGCCTCATATGTGACGTGCCCACAAGGTGGAACTCCACCTTGCACATGCTGGAGAGACTGTGCGAGCAGCAGCAGGCGATAGTGGAGTTTCAGATGCAGCACACACGGGTCAGTCGCTCTGCGGAACAGAGTTTTGTTTTTTTTATATGTCCCAATATTTTGGGGGCTACCCCAATTAAAAAGAATATATATATATATATATATATATATATATATATATATAAAACAGTGTTGGCTACCTCCTCCTCCTCCACCGCCGCTTCCACCTACACTGCCACGGTCACCGCCGCCTCAAACTATGGGTCACTTAGTATAAACTATGTACACAATAGCAGAGGCTTGTGAAGGCCTTTTCTCCATGCATCAGGAGTTTAGCTCAGTTTAAACAATGAAAGAGAACACCCTGCACTCCAACCCTCTCCCAAATGGATAATTCCGGTGATCCTCCTGACAGCCATGCTTTAGATTTTGATTTATGTTCTTCCAAAGCTAAAATCAAAGATTCCATCTAGTGCTATTTTATGCCTCAGCTGTATTTTTAATTTTTCTGTTATTTTAAGTGATTTCCCCATCCACATTTGTTTGCAGGGCACTTGTCCTACTCTTACCCCAATTTTACTTGCTTTTGCAGCTCTCTGGCTCTTTCCAGGCGTTTTTTAGAGGCATTTTTGTGGCCAAAAGTTCGGGTCCCCATTGACTTCAATGGGGTTCGGGGTCGGGGTCAAGTTCAATCACGAACCCGGACTTTTTTTTAACGTTCGGTCGAACATCCAGGTGTCCACTCAACTCTAGTCATAGGCATACCATATTGAGTGAGAGACGGAGCGGAGCAACCACACGGCACTGAAGAGCATTAACAGAGCAAGAGCAGTGATGGAGATGGAGTAAATTATATGTATGTACTCAGGATTACATATTGTGCGTATAAGAATGAAATAAGTAATTTTAGTTTTAGTTTGTGTTTGGTAATGGATTCACCAACTTTTATACTGGCCAAAGGCAGGTCAGGGCACAGATTTTAGTTTAATGAAGCAGTTTGGGTGTAAATCATGCCCCTGCAGTCTCACTGCTCGATTACCTACAGTTAAGGAGTTAAAACACTTTGTTTATACAGCCCTAGCCACATCTACCTACCCCTGACTCATATAGCCTCAATGAAAAAGAGGTTTCATTTTTACAGTATAGTTATTTACTTTAACCCCTTAAGGACCAAACTTCTGGAATAAAAGGGAATCATGACATGTCACACATGTCGTGTCCTTAAGGGGTTAAAGGTTTGTAGCTCTTACTCTGTCGTTGCTTGGAGGCAAAAAGACCAGGGGCTTTTATAATTTATTCAAAACCCTGGGGTATTGAATAATGACAGGTTAAAATCAACAGGCTCAATGACAGGTTTTTATAATAATGACCATCATCCATTTTTAACTCTTCAAGTCATTCGGTCACATTAACATTGTCCCACACCTACATCAATTGTCAAAGTGAGTGTGGACTGAAAGGGTTGGGGTGAATAATGCTAGTGTAACTGAATGACTTGGAGAATTAAAAAATGGATGATGAGCATTATTAAAAAACAAAACAGGAGAGATGAGAAAATGCCCACCATCATCCATTTTTAAACACTTCAAGTCATTAAGTCAAATTACTGTGTTCCCCCCATGCAGACCACACTACCCTAATTGATGTGGGAATGCAAATGGGAGAGACTCTTAGTCCTGTGTCATCTCTGCCCTCAGTTTGCCGGTGCTATCTATGTCCCCAAACAGCTCGACGACGGTGTGGCGTTGCCTTCTCTTTCCCCAAACAGCAGGCAAGTTATGTATGAGGAGCACATATAAAGCCCTATGTCCTTTTTATATGTGTTCAGGATATGAACAGTGTATTTTTCAATTCTAATTAAAATGCAATTTCCCTATTGAGAAATAATAATGGTGCAGTGTACAGGTGCAAGTCCTTGACATGTGCACGGTCGCCTTGTCGGCATATGCATAAACCCCACCAATACCCATTTCCAATAAAACATTGACACCATGGTTTTGGCAAAATTTATGTCACAGCTTTAATGATTCTTAACATAAAATATAAAGGTCATTGTCAACAGCAGGCCACTGTTGGCCTGCACAATTACCATCCTGCATTTTACAATTTAAACCCCCTGACAATGACCCACTCCCACATAACATAAACCCAAACATTGTAACATTTAACTTAACATTGAAACATGACCATTGCCACCAAAGGGCACCACAAGTGTAGGGGCATACCAAGACACCCCATACACACCCCGGTTTGGAGCTACCTACAGGCTCGAACCTACCAAACCAGTCCAAAGGCCTACCTATTAGCCCTGAACTCCAAACTTGTTCCCCATCTCACTCTTTTCTCCCCCCAACTTTACTCTCCATCCCCCGCCGCCGTGACCAAACGGGAAACACCTGAAAGCAAACGGAGGGTGGGTGGGACAACAACAGGTAAGTGCAACTTAGATTAAAGTTTGCTTTATATTTGTTTAACTCTGTCTCCAAATTGTGGATGGTGGATTTATCTACACTTTCCAGTGTTTTGTGTAAACAACATGGTATAGTTATGTTATAATACACAGAGTGCAATGTAGCACTTGCTACCTGTGTCATTGTCTGTGTTTGTCTATTAATCTCTGTCCTTGCTCTTGTTGTTTTATTTGTCTTTTTTTTCTGTCTGTCCTTGCTATCTGCGTCTCAGTTTGTCTGTGTCTGTGTGTGTCTTTGTCTCTTCCTATTTGTCTCTGTTACTTTGTTACAGCATTAGTATATTGTATGGTGCAGTGTATAATATAGACCAGTCACCATACTTACTATTAATGTTCCATGTTCGGTGCCATCTAGCTGGAAGATTGAGTCCTCACTGGATCCATTGTTGTAGTAGTCAGTGCAGGCTATTGCCAGGGCTGATATGTTCTGATTAGTCTCAGGAATTGTGGGTAGATAAGCAGCGGCTACCACTGAGCTCATCCCAAGTGTAAGGATAATCTTCAGAAAGCCGTCCATGGTCACTCAGTGAGTCAGTCTCCAGGACAAACAGACCAGTTTTTTTGTTATCCCAGTTGCCAATGCTGTGAAACATGTTTAGATCTTCTGCATTAAGGCTGTCTGTGTATCTAGTTATTCTTTGCTGTCTGTGTATCTGGTTATTCTTTGCTGTCTGTGTATCTGGTTATTCTTTGCTGTCTCTGTATCTAGTTATTCTTTGCTGTCTGTGTGTATCTAGTTATTCTTTGCTGTCTCTGTATCTAGTTATTCTTTGCTGTCTCTGTATCTAGTTATTCTTTGCTGTCTCTGTATCTAGTTATTCTTTGCTGTCTGTGTGTATCTAGTTATTCTTTGCTGTCTGTGTATCTAGTTATTCTTTGCTGTCTGTGTGTATCTAGTTATTCTTTGCTGTCTCTGTATCTAGTTATTCTTTGCTGTCTGTGTATCTAGTTATTCTTTGCTGTCTGTGTATCTAGTTATTCTTTGCTGTCTGTGTGTATCTGGTTATTCTTTGCTGTCTGTGTATCTAGTTATTCTTTGCTGTCTGTGTATCTGGTTATTCTTTGCTGTCTCTGTATCTAGTTATTCTTTGCTGTCTCTGTATCTAGTTATTCTTTGCTGTCTGTGTATCTAGTTATTCTTTGCTGTCTCTGTATCTAGTTATTCTTTGCTGTCTGTGTATCTAGTTATTCTT